GACAGGGTGGAGAGGGTGCAGATGAGCAGCTGGACCCGCCCACGGCTCACCCACACTCTCTGTGGCAGGCACCCCTCCCAGATCTGCCCAGCACCGGCCAGCCACCATGCAGGGTGGGGGACAGCACATCTCCCCCTCCCCCGCTAAGTCCCCCAAAAGCCCAGAGTTATATGGGCTCAAAGAGCATGTAGATTCTCTGTGATAAAGGCTTCAACCGATGCCTAGTTACTTTGACTCTGAGAGCCATCACGTTTGCAGGTGCAAAGGGAAGGAGAGTTTTATTTTCAACAGAACTCCTTCCTATGACAGCAGTAACAATAAAACAAAATACCGACAATAATATGATCTTCTCCAAAGTCAGAAAGGGATCAGTTCTGTTTAACCACAACCTGCCTCCTGCAGATGAACTCAAAATTCCAGAACTGACTTGAGTTCTACAGGCTCCCTGTGTGTCTGTCCTGACCTTCCCAACAGATCGAGGTTCTTTCAAGGTGGGTGTAATGCTGTTCTTTATTCTCTAAGGATCTGCTCCAGGAATCAGTCCCCTGGGCACCTGCCAGGCAGATCCATAGACCAAAACCCAACTCTTGCAAGATCCTGAAGATAAGGCCCCAGTGTCTGGAATCTGGGCTCAGCCCAGTTGCGGTTGCTCTGCGTTGACCAAGGCTGCCATGAGACCAGGCCCTCAGAAAAACCGGCAGAGTCATGATTCCAAACACGGGGTCTCTCCATTTCCATTACTTGTGGCAGCAGCTTGCAAATACTAGTATTTCAGTGACTGTATTTGCATCTCTCAAACTTGTAAGTGGTTTGGGGAAAAAAATTCATTTGAGATCACATATCCCAATTACGGTTTGGAAAATGCACTCAGTGAGCCAAGATGAAAATGGAACTTTAAAATCCTGTCCTGGAGGGGTCTCTTGAGTCACCTAGTTCACTCCTTGACTGGACTGAACTTGCATGAACTTCTCTCAGATGCTGGTCTCTCTCCCACTCCCAACATTCTCCAGTGAAAGGACCCTGCACACACCAAAGCTCGGTACTAGCCTAGGTCTTTCCTAAAATCTAACCTAAATCTCTCCTTCTTCAAAAGAAGTCTGTTTCACTTTGTTGGCATTCTCTATGATTTTGGCTAGACTGGCATTCTATGGAACTTGGTCACCTCTGCTTCTGTCCCCTCTCTCAAACCTTGCTCTTAAGGGTCAGCCCGTGGCTCACTCGGGAGAGTGCGGTGCTGATAACACCAAGGCCACGGGTTCGGATCCCATATAGGGATGGCCGGTTAGCTCACTGGCTGAACGTGGTGCTGACAACACCAAGTCAAGGGTTAAGATCCCCTTACCGGTCATCTTTAAAAAAACAAACAAAAAAACCCCTTTGCTCTTAGACATTTGTCCTGTTTGGTTTCTGGATGCCCAACTCAGAACAAAGCCTGGTTTCTCAGAGAAGAAAACCTGCCTGTTAGTCTGAACCACATTGTAGCCTCAGGGTCTCAGAGTTGCAAAGGGAAAGGGCTCCCAGGTGCATGCTGCCAGGTGAGCAGGCCCATGAGGGCTGGGACTGGGAGGGGCTCTTACCGTCCATGTGATCTCCATGTTATTCTTTCTGGTCCCCTCTCCCTTAACGTCACTGGGATTGGACTCAGGGCCTGCAACCCAAATGGATGCAACGTTCAAGTCCAGTGTGTGCCTTCCTAGGTCACTGCACGCAACCCACGTCCCTCCCACCCGACTGGTCACTCTGTGTGTGGTCTCTTCTCAGTGTCGGTCTTCTCAGCATCTGTATATATACTCCAGCTCGTATGCCACTGAATTCATTCTGCCTTTTCCTCATGTGTATGATGTGCCTTCCTAGCTAAGATTTAAACCTTCAAAGCAGGGATAATTTCTTTTTCATTTTAATCCCTTACCAGACAGCATTTATCATAAGGCTTTACACACTGTGGGTGATCAATAAGCCAACTCAATGTGGATTATCTCCTCAGGGATTATCTACTAAAAGTGTTTCACCAGACTGGCTTATCCCTGGCATTTAACATTTTTGGGGAACATGTCTATCCTCTATGATCTGGTGTGATTTCAGAAATCTAAACATTACCCAAAGATGTTAGGCAAAGAAATCTGATATAACACCAGGTTCTATATTTCTACTGCACATCTTTGCCATAGCTCTCCCCTTTAAAGCAGATAGTCAAGAATTATTAATATTAGTAATAATAAAAATGGCAGTTAACATTTGGTAAGTACCTGACATACGTTTTCAACTGTCCTCCTAATAACAGCCCCAGAAGGTGGGGCTTATTATTATTAAAAGGTGCAATTATTATTATTCTGTTTCACGGATGAGGAAGCCGAGCCTTGGAGAAGTTAAGTAACTTGCCCAAGTTCATGTGGCTGGAAACTGCGGGAACTACGTTGAATTCAGGGTGCCTGGTTCCAGAGCCTTCTCTGGTAGCAGTCAAGTACTCACGTGATCCACTCGTTCGGTAGCGCTCAGACGGGAGGCTGGGGTGGCTGCTCCCAACTTCGTTGACAGCAATGACCCGGAACTGGTAGTTGACATAGGGGGACAGCTGGAGGACAGCTGAGTTGACACTGCCTGGGAACTTAGAATGGTCATGCCAGACCCCTGGTTGAAACTGGTCCTCTTCAAACTGGACGATGAAGTCTGAGAAGGCAAGGAAGACAGAGCTGTCTCAGGAGCTGAGTCACAGCATTCTCCGTTAAAGAGAATGCTGTGACTCTTTGGCCCCGTCCATCTCCATAATTTCCCCTGGATAGACAGAGGCACAGGGGAGATTCTTCCCAAAACACAGAAAGGGAAACCAAGGCCTCTGTGCATTCTGAGAATAGCCCAGACACACACCAAGTGAGTCAGAGGGGGGAGCAGAAACCAGGCGGGACCTCAGCTGGAGGCAGATACTGTCCCTCTTCAGTGGCTTGGGAGCACAAGGCCCTGTGCTGACCTGTGATGGGGCTGTTGTTATCGTCCCCTGGGATCCAGGTCAGCCTCACGCTCCTCTCGGCCAGGTCGGTGAGCTCCAGGTCCCGGGGTCGGTCTGGCCGTCCTGGCAGCACAGAGAGGACACCATGCAGGGCTCCTGACTTAGAGCTAGCCTGTCATTGTACTGGCGCAGCCCTAGACAGGCGCCTGATGAGCTGAGGGCTTCACTACCAGCAGGATCCAACCCCAGCCTGCCCTGGAGGGTCAGCACAGGAACCACCCCCTTCCCTCAGTGGGCTGAGGAAGAACAAAGACCCCAAATTCCACCACCCCCAAAAGATTGTCAAAGGGTGTGAAGCAAGGAAATAAAGAGGATCATGCAGGGCACGGAGAGAATTGGGACCAACCCACTGCATTTCTGCAGGTGTTCTTAGAATGCAAGCCTTTGGAAAATGCTACCCTTCTCATTAGACCCATGATCACGGCATTTAGGAAATCTGATGAGGAAGCATGGGATTTTGCCACATTTTCTCATCATAACTATCTTCTCAGTGTGCCAAGGCTCTGAGGGGACAGGAGCTCAAGAAGGGGCTTGGAGTGCTGAGCAGGACCGACAGGTTAAGGGAATTGGGAGGGGACAAAGAAAGAATACCAGGCCAAGTGAGAAGACAGAGACTTAGTCTAGAAATTTCAGTAATGAACAACAGGACAGAGGACCCCTGGCAGGCTTCCAAACGGGGGGGGGGTGGCACCTTTCAAGAGCTCCAATCTCACTGGGATTGCTTTAGTGGTTGTAAGTACCATCTTGGCCTGGGAATAAAGAAAGCCATCTGGCCACTGACTGACAGGGGTAGGCAAGATTTTTCCCTGTCCTGGCTCCCTGAACCAGTTATTTCCATATCTCAGCTGGTTTCTGGAAGGACCTGGAAGGGGAGTCACAGGAGCCCACATCGCTGCACGTGCACACGCGTGTGTGTAGACTGTAAACAGACACACAGTAGCAGATGTGGAGAGGCTGCGAAACAGTGCGCCTACAGATCGCTTGAAGGGAGTGGGCTTCCCTGATGAGACCTTGGCCACTTCTGAGGCCAACCTGTGGAAGGAGAACCAGCCACCACAAGGGAGTACTGAGTGTGGCCAGGGGTAAGGGACAGAGTAAAACAGCAGCCAAGGACTTCCGAGCTCAACCTGCAAAAGGAGCAGGAAGCCCAGAGCAGGGTTGTGACATGGGCCCAGGGAGGTGGGTGTGGGCACCTGGAAGGTCACATGAGGCAGGGAGTGGCAATGGTAGTCCATGGGCCTAGCCTACACACCATACGCCCTTCCTGAAGCAACTTCCTCCTCGTGGACTACACCACCCAGCTGCCTAGAGAAGATGCTGGTGAGGGCCCTAGGATTAGTATAAATTACCTTTGGGCAGGGCAGCCAAATGGTTAGTCGGAGTGATCTGATCAGCTGCAAAGGTAAGACAGGTTATCAGGGTTAGCAGGTTATCCAGGGTTAAAGGTGTTCTGGAAGGATGGGAACAGACAGCCAAGGCTTGAACAGCTGTCCCCAGCCTGAGGGGTTCCAGGCACAGCTTCACTGGCCCTTCCATGGACAACCCCCTACCCCTAAAGAGGCCGTCTTATGTTTTCTCCATGGCTGGGGAAGAACCTCTGTTTCCTTCCCGTCCCAGTACAACCACTGTGCCTGGGCAACTGTGCCTCTCCACTGCAGAAGGGAGAGTACACCAATACCGATGGCAGTAGGGCACCCAGGGAGAGGACAGAGGTGATGAGGGGACCATAGGGGATCTGCTTCCCGGGGAGGGAGAGGCCACCTTCCCTTTGGTTTGGGATGGCTTAGTATTTACAGTTTGGCCTTGATGCAAGGACAGGAACAGACGGCACCATCCTGCTCAGTGCAGAGAACACTGTGAAATGCCTCCAAAAACCAGGAATGGGGTGGGACAGGGAGGAAGGTGAAGCTTGCTGGAAGCACAAACACAAAACTCAGCCTTGCTTTAATGATGGGCTGTTTTAAATCAACTTAGTGGTATAGAGTTAGCTGTAAAGGAGGTAAAAATGATCACAACAGGAAATCCCTCTCCACTTTCCCTGTATCATTCAAGCTCCCTTCAGTTGAGATGTGGGGGCGTTGACGATTGCACTCAGGAGGTAAGCTGTCCAGCACAGCTTGTTCTGAAAGTGGCAGCTTCCTAACCCTGAGATCAAAAGGCAACAGATGCCCATGCCTGGCTGACCGCTGACTCCAGGCACTGCCCTTGGAACCGACCATGGCCCGCTGCTTCTCTGACTGCCGGGGAGGCAGGGCAGGGGAGCCCAGTGCCAACGTGAGCAGTGGCAGTTACCTAACACGGTGAGGTAGGCCTTGGCCAAGTCTTGGTCCAGCTCGGTGCTGGCGACACACGTGTAACTGCCCTGGTCCCGCTCTGCCACTCCAAAGATGGTCAGGGAGTCGTCTTCCTTCTTCATCCTACAAAGATGCCGCAGAGGGATTGGGAGGGGGCTGGGCGGAGTGCTGGGCACTGCCCGCTGCTCTTTCCCCGGAGGGGGGTCGTGATCAGGAGGAAGAGGGAAGCAGCAGCAGCTGAGCTGGGAAGCCACGGCTCCCCCAGGGGATAGGAGGCTCCATCTCAATGCTTCGAGAGAGATGAGACTTCACGGTCACCTGGGGCCCTTATGGTACTCGACGGAGGGGAAAGAGAAAGTGGGCAGAGCTCATATGGTCCCAAACTATGGTCACTTCCTTCAAATTCCATACTTGCGTCTGTCTCTGTGCCTTTACTGGGCTGTGTACCCCTCCCAAATTAGGGCACCATTAGGCCCACTGCCAAAAGCAAGAGAGGTATCCCTGCTCCTCCCATACTAGTAGCTGTGTTTATCTTCAGCTCAGGCTTGGCTCCTCTGCACCTGGGCTCAGGCTGGCCTGCTCCCGGCCTCCTCTGAACCGTCTCCCACAGAGGAAGGAGGACACCCAGAGCAGGATGGGACTATTAGGCTGTCAGCACCAACTGAGTGTTGGAATGCCATGCCTGTCTGCAGGGTGCACCCCCTGCAAAAACTCAGATGATGGTTGGAAACAGCTATGTCTAACCACAGGGCCGGGAAATGGAAGAGGACACAGCAAGGCTGAGCCCTGGGGAAGGAGGTTTGGACCAGTGCAGTCTCAACTCTGCCCACACATGAGAAACCCCCAGGGGGACTTTTAAACACTGTCACTGCTTGAGTCCTACCCCTACACCAGTGAAATCAGAATCTGGGGTGGGAGGAGAGGCAGGAGTAGGTATAGAGTAAAGTGTCCCGGGGCTGAAAACCACCAACTACAGAAGAAATCGTCGGTGTGGGCCAACCCTGCCCTCTCCTGGAGAACAGGAGTACTGCAAACAGGGCCGAAAGGATGGAGTCGGTGTGGCAGAGGCAGAAAAGCGGAGACAGGGAGGGATAAAAGGAGGGGCAGGGGAATAGAGAAGAGTGAGGGGAGGGAGGGACAAGGGTGCAGGACAGGGGTCTCCCTTGAGGTGGGAGGGTTACTGTGGCCATCACCCCATCCTCAGTAGCTCCTTGGTGACACACATGACACAGGTCACCTGTCGCGGGGCTCTTCAGTGTGTCACCAAGAGCAAGGAAAACAAACTGCCCCTCACACTAGCACCAGGAGGAGAGAAGTAAGGAACGGAAACCTGTTTCCAATGTAGAGTGGCTCGTCGTCCTTCAGCCAGGAGACAGTGAGCTTCAGGGACGCGTCGTGCTTCACCCGACACTCCAGCTGCACCGTGGTGCCCCTTTTGGCAACCTGGTCCTCAGGCATCCGGAAGATCCTGGTGGGGTCTGTAGAGAAGCCCAGGGAGTGCACCACTGGCCCACTCTCTGGCCACCACCCCTGCGTGGCCACACGGTGGGCCACGCCTGACCTTTAGGCCTTGGACCAACCATGGAAGGTGGCAGAAACAGTATGAAGTTGTATGAGTGGAGGGGGAGTCCTGGTGTGGGTAATCCCAAATAGTAAATAATCCCCCAAACCCTTTCTGTCTGGCTCAGGAATACGCAATGTAATTTCTGCGGAGGTGGTGGGAAGCTGGTGTGGGTAGTAGCAGGTTTTCCTTCTTATTCCCCTTGGACCAGGCTGGTAATAAACTATTCCCAGCACCTGGCTCAGCTGGAAGGTCGCGCAGACACACACTGAGGAGCCCTACTTGGGATTAAACATTAAATGCGCTGCATTTTCAAAAGGAATTATCATGCACGGATAACTGCAAGCATGGCTTCCTTCCCCACCTTGAACTCCTACCTACGAACCCTTTCCTTTACCTTTGACCTCCAGGCGGACTTGGTTTTCAGCTTTGCCCAGGATGTTCGTGGCAACACAGGTGTAGATGCCTTGGTCCTCTTTACGGATCATCTTAATTTCCAGACTGCCATTCTCATAGACATGGTAGTTTCCACCATCCAGGTTGCTCCCTTGTCCATTCTTAAACCTCACGACAGAGCAGCAGAACACACAGCATACTGAGAAAGGATTGGCCCAAGGGAGCAGGGCAGCAACCAGTGGAGAGACCATGGGGGCAGTGGAAAAAGCCCCCTGCTAGCAGTTTGGAGTCCTGAGCCTTGTACAGTCTGCCTCCAACCACTAGGTGGCCCTGGCAAGTCTCTGCCCCTCTCCAGGCCTCAATTTCCCTTTCTGTACAATAAGGGGGTTGACCCAGATGATCTGCCAAGTTCCTCCCAGCTTCGACCCTTTAAGGTTCCCAGGTTTTGCTGAATACCTAGTATGGACCAGATGGGAATGAGGAAGGTGAGACAGATGTCTTCTACTGGGGAAGGTCTGGTCTCCTGGAACTTACCATCGGAGCGTGGGGATGGGAGACCCAAAGAACGGGCAGTCCAGCCGTGTCCGGTTGTAGAGGATCACCCTAATGAGCTGGTTCCGGGGTGACAGCATCCGAGGTGGCACATCTGAAATTCCCAGAGAACCGACCTTGGGTGTGGTGCCTAGCCCTTCCATTTCCTCCCCTCCGGTCTCATCTCTACATGCTTTCTCCTTACAGCAGCTTTCTAAGCATCGAGAAACTTTTCCCTACCAACTGTCCCTCCTTCAAGAAGCCTTGAAGGATTGGGTGAGGAAGGAGTAAGTTTATCCATCTGCCCTCAACCTACCTTACATCCAATCCAGCATCTGCAATGGGTTTCCCCAAATTACCCAGCAGGTTCTGCAGCTACCCCCTCCACAGCCCTAAGACATCTTCTAGCCAACCCCTCCCACCACCCTCTCCTTGATCAGGGAGTACAGCAAACATATTCAGCACCGTTTCCCACCATGAGATCCAAGTGTGAGCCCAGCGAGAGTCAACATGGATATACCAAGGAGTTGAGACAGCCTCCCTCTCCCATCAGGGGGAGGAGGGGCTAAGATTGACTTCTCTTACCCTGCCCAGAAAGCTAATCTCCAGAGGAGAGTGTGGCCCGGGACATAACCAAGCCCCAGGGAGACTGTGCCACGGGTGAGCAGAGAAGGGCCGAGATGCAGGGATGCGCTCACCCAGCACACTGACGAAGGCATTGGCTAGCAGGTAGCCGTGCTCGTTGGAAGTGTTGCACTGGTACACGGCCCTGCTGCTGATCTGGGTGTCTCGGAAGATGATGGTGTCCCCGGCTACCTCACGGTTTGGGTTGGGTGGTGCCGCTACAGATATGAGAGAGATGATCCTTGTGAGAAATGGGGGAGGGCAAGGTGAAGGGCACTTGGGGCTTTGGCCAGGGCTCCCAGCCCGGACCGGGACCGGCAACGGGATCGCAACCCTCGGTGTCGCGCCCACACCTCGCTCAGCCAGTGAGCGGGAACCGGTCTGTATGTGGGATCCGAACCCTCGGCGGGAGCGCCGCCGCGCTCCCAAGCGGCGCACTGTAGCAGTGCGCCACCGGGCCGGCCCCCTCCCATCTTTTCTAGCAAAGTAAAGGACTGCCACTCTTCTTATCTTTAACCACTAGCAGGTGACTTTCCTCCATGAGATTTCTGGATGTGGCTTGCAGAGTCCACGAACTCACTCAGGATCACCCAGACCCACTAGGGAAGTCAGTGGATGAGGAGGCAGGAGTCTGGCCCTGTGGGCGCCACTCCACAGACAGCGAGTCGGAGCCTGGAACTGGGGAATCAGCAGAAGCAAATGGAGACAAGGTCAGCATTCTCATCCATCCCTGGGTCCCTGCTCAGCAAAAAGGTACCCAGGGAGGTCATGCCAGCAACCTGACGTCTCCTGGCCCAGCAACTCCCATGGAACCAACTTTCCTCCTCATCACTCCACTTACGTGCTCCCTGGGGACAGTGACGAGTGACCTTTCCAGGGCCAAGGCTCAGCTGCAATTCCTGGGCTGCATGTACTCAATGGTACTGGGAAGTTCAGCACCGATGCCTGCTTTACCCCTATGTGCTACTAGGACAGCGAGAACTGCAGAGGGCAGGCAGTGTCCGCACTTCCGTTTGTGGCCGGGGGGATGCTATTTACTGAGCTGACCACAGGTTCAGCGCGAGCTGGCACAGGTGCACTGCAGTCTCACAGCAGCCCCGAGCATCGCCACTTACGAGCCATGGGATCCTGGGTAATTCAGTGCACCCATCAGGAGTGCTGTCTCACCTTCAACGTTGAGACTAAAGAGATAACAGAGCACCTAGCACCGTGCCGGGTACACAGTAAATGTCTAAAAAGATGTGCTCTAGTGCTCCCATCCACCTATCTCCCCTGCCTCTCCACCTGCTTCTAACAGTGCTGCTTTTAAGTTATATTCTGAGTTCCATCTATTTTTTGCTCCATTTGGTTGATATCACTGCTTACATTTTCTCTGACCCCTTAGAGAAAGTAATGACAGGACATTTAAAAAAGTAAATGCAACCAGAGAGAATGTGATGTGAAAATTTGACCAAGACCCCCAGAGGGAAGGGCCCTGGAGTCACCTCCTCCATCCATCCGGGCAGGATGAAATCTTCTCAAAGTCTGTGCCTACTTTCTAATTACACCTGTGCATCTCTGCGGTCATGGGGAAGTCCTTCCTCATATCCATCTATAATCTTTCACATGGTCACATAACCCTGCCTCTCATTCCGCCCTCAGCAGACAGTGGGACTTGGTTAATGAGCACCAACGGGTTACTGAGCTCTCCTGTACCTTCCTAGCCCCAGCCGCCACTCAGAGCCCAAACCCTCGGAGATGTGGTTAGACCCCAGGCCTGAACTGCATTCTGTAGTTGTCATCAGGCACACAGAAGAGATTTAAGAAAAATCCGAGAGCAGAAATATCCTAAACACGGGAACATAAACACAGGGCTCTGGCCTCCTGTTCTCACACAAAGATGAGGAAGGGTCCCTGCCACTTGAGGTATCCCAAGAAATGGGCTGCTGAGAAGCAACGGGCCACAGGCTACTCTTTTCCTCACCTAGTACAACCCAGGCTGGCCCAGTGATGAGGATCTGACTTTTGACAGGAGAGAGAGGACAGTCGTGTGGGACAGTAGCTTGTTACTTACACTGCAAAGGTTCCCCATTCACCATCCACTGGACAGTGGGTTTGGGGTTCCCATTGGCTCGACACACCAGTCTCCCATCCTCACCAGGAGCCAGGATGAGGTTCTTGGGTTCATCCAACCAGTAGGGAGCAGCTGGAAGACAAGGCAGGCACAGGTGGAGGAGTTAGATGGCACGGGGCAGGCCGAGGAACCACGCAGGCTCCGTCTAGGAAGGCAGGAGCTGCTAAGCCCCAGTGCCAGCCTCCCCACCTGCCCCAGAGCTCATCCTCATGGGGATGACTCGGTCCAGCCGTGCCTGGCCGGCCTGGCTGCACGATGTTGACCTGTGTATTTCCATTTCACAGAACAATAGTACTAGATAGGCTGCTTAGGATGCTAGGGCCTGTATCAGACCTACTAAATCAGAATCCCCAGGGTAGGCCTGGGCAGCTAATGCTTTTAGAGGTTGCAGGTTTTATGATGTGCACCTAAGGGTTCAACCCATGGCCAGAGAAGGCAGTAAAGTGGCACTGGGTTGGTCCCTCTGGATTTCTGCTGTTGCAAGATCAGACTCTTTGGGAAAGGCCTATGTATTCACTTCTTTAGGCGCTGAACTTCGGTTAGAGAGTTCTTAGCTGGCCACCCCTTTCAGTTGTTTGGACAATTTTGTGAATATGTGGATATGTGCGTTCTTCTGACTAGAGGGTCCTTTGTATCAGATTCTCAAAGACCTTGATAGCTCCCCCAAAAAGGTTAAGAACCTCCTAATTTGTGTGGTGCTGAAACCAGGATCACGAAATCAATCAACTGTGTGCTAAGAAAGTTCTCGTCCTCTGGTTTCAGTCCTCATCATCCCACTCATGACACCCCAGGCCGAGAAGTGACTTGTATAGCCCACCACCCACGGCTGGGACCCAGAAAGCCATGTGCTCTGTTGCGTCAGTAGCTCAGGTGGGCCACCTCTGCTTTTGGGGGAGGAAAGTGATTAAGAAAAAAAATTTTGTTGGCTACGATGACTGCCCATTTTTAAAAAGAAGCACAGTTCCATGCACGTACACAGACAGCACAGGGCCAAGACAACACGTCACGAACGGGAATGCAAAATGAATAAAAGAAAAGCCTTTGGGTGTGATCCAGATGGGCCGTGGGAGAAAATCCACCTACTGAGGGAGCCCCAGCACCAAGGAGCATTGGAGGATGGTCAGAGTGGATCTCTTTCCCTTACTCTCCCCCCAACATGTGTGTGCACACATGCTCATGTCCAGGGGTGACACCATCCATGGCAGGTCACTACTGCCACTAAACGCTGTGTTGGAAGTTTCCCCCACTCACTCTGTCCCCAACCAACCTCAGAGGGAAGAGTGGTCATGGTATTTAGGGTTGGCAAAATAATCATAATGAGAAATACATACAACGTACCCTTCACTCTCACCGAGATCGTGTGCCGGATGCTGCCCATCTTGTTAGAGGCCAGGCAGAAGTACTCCCCAGAGTCCTCCTCGGAGACATTGGTGATACGCAGAGCCTTATTAAAGTTCTCAAACTTGGCCTTGTCAGATGGGAGGTCCCCACCTTTCTTGTACCATGCAATGTCTGGTGTTGGGCTAGGAGAGGCACCAAGCAGGAAACAAAGGACTTATCACTAAATGTGGCCCTTTTCTTCTATACAGCTTGGGACACCCCAGTGTCCTAAAAGTGTACTTGGCTCAGGAGCATGCACGTCCTCAAAGAGGTAGGTGGTCTTTCCTATACTGAGGAGGACACTCAGCCACAGAGAGCCTGAGGGACTTAGCCAAGGTGCCACGAGATTCTAATGCACAGACAGGACACCTAACCACCTCCTTTTCCCATTATCTAAAACTGAGATGCCCAGGATGGGATGGATGTGACTATGTTGGAAGGTCCTGCTCATTAGGGCTGTTTGCTTCTCTCTTTGCTGTGCTGCTGGTTTTCCCCAAACGTGGCAAGAACAGAACCGGGACAGGCTCCCATCCCTATCCTCCTGGAGGGTGGCCGAGGGGGGTGCACACTGTACATACACCCCAGAGGCGATGCACTCCAGCAGAAGATCCATGCCACGAAGCACCATCTGGCTGCTCGAGGTGCCCTGGGGATACATGAAGCTGGGTGTTCTCTCTGCAACTCCTCGGGCTGAAATAGGATAGAACAAGCTTCCATGAGCCTCCTGCCCAGAGTGCTGACCCTGCCAGGCCAAAGCTGTCAGGCTAGAGAGAAATGTCACTACACCCCCTGCCAGACCCTCCCAGCTGAAACCACCCCAAGGACCGGGGTGTCATTAAGAGAGATGTGTTAGGAAGCTTGGGTGCCTCAGCCCCACCCGCACATGTGTGTGAGCAGCTCTAAGATCTGGAAAGATCTGCCAAGAGAAGGCTGGCATCCCTCAAAGTTCAGGAGACCTCCTCTCCCCTGGAGCAGGGGAGGAGGCTGTCTAAGCAGTGAAAGGTCTATTCCCTGAGCAGCATCCTGTGTTGGGATCTCAGAGGCCACTGTGGTGGCCTCCAGGGCAGGACAGGCCATCTCCACAGCAGTTCTTCCTCCCCAGACAGGAATGTGGAAGAAAGAGAATGCAGGTATTGGGACCACAGGACAGACAGCCTGCTCTTTGGGACCCTGAAGACAAGGAGCTGGGATGAAATCACAAAGCCCCACATAAACTGTCAGAGATGCAGGGAGAGTTATTAATGGTTTAGCAAAGACATGGAGAGAATTAATGAGCAGAGATGACAGGAAATCACTCTGGGGCCGAGACCATTCTGCTTCTCACTAATGACTCTGGAAGGGGGCTAGGGAGGAGGGTGTTAATTGCATGTGAGATACTGGGGGAGGGGTGACAGGGAATGGCAGCCAAGTTGGAGGGGGTGATCTACAATTCAACGAGGCTGGAGAAGCCACGGGTCTGAGATCAATGAAATCCATGCGGGTTTTAAAGGCCAGGTGGCTCACAGAGACTGACATTTTCAGGATGGCTATTTCCCTGCCATGACAGTCTGTGGACACACACAGCAGAGTGGACCTACCTTACCCGAGCCTCCCCCATCCCATAACTCTTTGCACAGCTCCATGGAAACGAATAAAAAGGGAGAAGAGCAAGAAATTTCCAGTGAGGAACCCCAAGGCAGAAGGGAAACTGGAGAAGGCACCCCCTGCCCAAGGTGGATGATTGTAAAGAAGAAGAGTTAAAAATATAAGTTGAGCCTGCCCATGGGATTAATGGGTCTTCGATTCAGCTGGACAATGGGACGTGGAGGGAAGGCGGAGTGGCCAGGAGCTGGGAGCCCTCGGAGGTGCCTCGAGTGAGAACAAAGGCCGCTGTCCCAGGGTGTAACTGGCGCTGGCAGGGAGAGGACAGAGTGGTGGGGAACTCTATCTCTGTGTCACTGGTGTTCCCTGAGGGAGCATGCTGGTTGGGCTGGTGCCCGGCTGGACCAGTGGGGCTCCTGTCCTAGGGGTTCTCAGACTCTCTCCATTGGCCACTGGGGAAGAGCATTTCATAGAGTTTGCTTCTACTTTATCTTTTTGTCAGGAGAAGAAAGGATGAAACATGGACAGAGGTCATTGGGCTGGTGGCACAATACATGGCACGTAGCAAGTGCTCAGGAAATGGTTGTGGGATGAATGAATTAAAGGGGGAGAAGAGAACAAAAAGGAAGGCAACAGTTTACCCCATATGTTATTTCTCCTTCTGTAGATGTCCTCATCTGTCCCCAAAGCACACATATATACAACAGTGGCTATTGAAGGGGTTAATCCATTATGTGGTTAATTGGTTACCATCTATACCTATAGCTCTTATATCATCCAGCTGTTCATACCAAGGAAGCCTGACACCAACAGCAGCTTCCTCCCACCCATTGTCACAGAATCACCAAAACAGTCAAGACCGTGCAAGGTCAAGGGTACTATAAGGAGATTCCAGGGCAGGAGGCTTTGGTGTCGGGTTGGCAAATCTGTCAAGAGCCGGGAAACTGGGATTCTGTGGAAGAGGTCCCAGCTCAGTCGTCATCCTCCTTCAATGCAGGGAAAAAATCTGCAGAAACCCATCTGTGACCCTGTGGACATTTAATTCACACCATAGCATGTACCGCCACAAGCACACACAACCAGCAAAGCAGTAAGGACAGGAAGGAAGAAAAATTAGCACAGAGTCCCGCTGTGGGTGCCTTGACATGCTGTAGCTGTGACTATAAAAAGACTATAGCAATACTGCATTTGTAGGATGTGGGCTAGCAACCGTAGAATTATCCCAAAGAAGGAGAAGCTACTGGGAAATAAGCCGAAGTTCAGAAAGAGAGGAAAGAACATCCTAAAAGTCAGAGGTAATAGTCAGGGTCACCAGCTGGTGAGCATTTATTACGGGCCGAGCACTGTGCCAGCAGCTCTATCTATATCACATGTTTAATCCTTGCAACAAACCCGGGGGGTTGTACCCCATTTTCAGCAGAGGAAACTGAGGCTCAGTGAAGTCAACAGACTTGCCCACAGGCACAAGCTAGTTATGTTCTGGACTCTGGACCATTCAGCACTGAAACTCTACACCTACCCTACATCGCCTCTGTGTCTGAAGATGGATACCCGGCTTGTCCCTACTTCTGACTGTTAACTTTGGGAATATCTTTCTTACTCAAACCAAAGAAAACCAAAATCCAAGCACGGGTAACAGAGGTAAAGGAGAAAGCTACTTTTGTCTTAGTGAGCTGCTCTGGTGAAAGTCTTCCACGATGTTTTACTATTCTCTCCCTCTCAGCTAAGATTCCATCTTTCCTCAGTGGCTATTAAATAAACTCAGATCCAAGCTGGAGAAAAAGAAGCTGGGGAGAAAATTAAGAGGCTCCAAAGGCATCCCAGCTGGATCTTTCAGGGCACAGAAAGCTTGAAGCAGAGTCAGGGGGACACACGGTATCATGAAGGAACAAGAAAGCTGGCCCCCAAAGGGAGATTCTGAAGAAATGTGATCGATTGCAGCATATAAATTTATATGAAAATTTAGGAAGGGTAACCCAGCTGCTGGCTTTGGATCCACTGTTCTCCAGGGAGGGTACCCCATTTCCTTCCCTGCAGAAGTAGGTACAGGAAGAATCTCTGAGACAAAGGTAGTTACTCTCTGACACTCTAAATGGTGGAAAATGACAGTCTCTCCTTGGATGTCGTAGGACGCCCTCTTTACCATGGAGGCAGGGATCCCTGAGAGCCTATACACCCTGATGATGTTTCTGTTACTCTCCCTGATCTTCAGGGTGGGGTCTGACCTAATACCTGACCGAACTCAGAATCCAGATGCTAAAGCTCAAGTCTGTGTGGATTCAGGAAGAGCTTCCCACACGGGCCCATGTGACCTCCAGCCCAAGGACAGCCAATGCTCTCCTACTCTTAAGCTGTAGCTCAGAGTGGACTCATGGGTTTCCAGGGGAATGTGGTCAGCCAGGGGGTATCAGGAGATGACACCGCCTCAACCACACTGTTTAAAGGTCGAATGGAAAATGCCTCTTGATCGTCTCCTGCTGGAGAAAAGGTCAAGATTGACGCACCCCTCTGTCAAGTACTGTGTGTTAGCAGAACAGGAGAATTCAATGAATCAGGTGTACCTAAGGACCTTTGACAAAAACAGCTTTTGGGAGCAGCCAGATCCTACATCCAGACCGCTTTGCTGCTTTTGATTCTCAGAATTGAGAACCAGAGAAAATAGGGGCTGGATTACTGGCATCTCATCTACCTCTCTGGCTCTAGAAATGGCTGATCAAACAACCCCAGAAGATAAGAAAAGCTCTTTGTCTAGCAACATTTGATATCTTTCACTGCCAGGAAATTTTGTCTGTAATTCTAACCCAAATCCCTCTCACAGTCGTTGGAGCTTTTCTCTTACCCAGTTCTCAGTATAGCTGAGGATCTGAACAGCTTTCGTTTCTCTAGTCTGCCCTAAAACATCTCCCTCTGTGGTACTTTCTTCCTATAATTGTGCCTGCCTTTCCCCCTTTGGCTTCTCTTCAAGTTCTCTGTGTCCTTAATTTCGGAAGCACAGATGAACTATACACGAAACAGTTAATACCGAACCATTCTCTTTAAAACCATTAATGGGTAACATTTATTAAGCATTGATAATGCGTCCAACGCCATACTAGGAACCATATGCACATTATCCTGTTTAATCTTCACAACAATCCTATGAGGCAGGTAATATATCCATTTGGCAGATGAGGAAATTAAAGTTCTGAGACACTAAATGACTTGTCTAATATGGCATGTCTTGGAGCCTGGATTTAATTCAAGGCAGTTGACCACAGAGTACACACTCTTAACTACCTGGTCGAGACCAAGTGACAAGCTACAATCTCAGACCAGCTTCCCCTCTCACTCAGCAGGTCAGAAGATACCAACTTACTGTAGAAACCAACAGAACAAACTACAAGTATGAGGTGGCCCTACTGCTACAGAAGAGACATGCTGTCTTTCAAAGCCAGAGAAATGCACTCGGCAATTTTCATTGATGGTCTCTCTCTGTCCAGCTTCCTCCACTCAGGAAGAAACTTCTTCTTTCCTTTTAATTTTCTCTTTCTTTCTAGAAGCATCAGCCTAGCTGTTCTTTGTTCAACGTGTGCCTCATTTTGGTTTTATATCCTTCCCAGTAGCTTCATACTTAAGTCAGTCCTGTCCTACCTCGGATTGAGGACAAGGGGCCAATCTCCATGCAAGCTCTTGTGAGCTCTGCCTGATTTCATAGTCTGGGATGGTTCTCAGAATTCCTAGTCATTTTCTCATAATAACATTGACCACTGGTCAAAACCCGGTTTAAGTGGCTGGAAACACTCAAACTTATTCCATTGATAAGATACTCTATGCGTGTGTTCCCCTGCATAGTTTATCTTACATAAAGTGAGGAGCCTGGACCAGACGGTCTCTATGGGACCATCTGGCTCTGATATACTCTGGCTTTCAGAATACTTCCTATAATAGATTACCTGGAATCCAATTTAGAAGAAGTCACATTCCCCACCAGTGCTCTGGGGCTCTCGACACAACAGTGGTTGGGCCCATTATCTTGAAAACAAACAATGCCCAGAATCCAACAAAGGCCCCCTACTTCCTCGGGCAGTCAATCTCTTTGGCAGAATCTCAGTGTGGTTCTAGCTGCTTGGTGCCAAGTCAGAGCCTTTGCCTCTCTCCTGGCTCTCACTCCTTCATCCCATCCCCCACTCCAGATGCTGACCATTGTTTATATTAGCACATCATAGTACAGACACATCCTATCTATCTGAGCCCACAATGACTCCCTTGGGGACCTGCAGCCTCAGCTTCTGAGTCATAACTGATGATGGGGGCCAGCTGCCTCGCCAGAGTCAGCAAATGATGATTCCTCTGGCTGCTCAGGGAAATCAAGACATTCCTGAGCCATGGTAAGGGGTAAAACTCAGGTATGGAAATAGCCAACGACCCTCTTCATCAGACTGAACAGCCAGCTGTGTGATGAGTGAGAATATGCCTCACTGTCACAGCTCCACGGGCTGCAGTGTGCACTGGTGGGCACTGCATCTGCATGCACTAGGAGAGGAGAGGCCCCGTGAGAGAGTACAGTAAATGGCCCAACTTCATTATGCTAACCTTGAAAGAAAACTCAGAGCTGGAACCTTACTCCTGTTTGCCAGATGGATTTTAAGGAGACATGGGACCTAGCTGTGAAATGGTACCCCCTGTAACTAAGGCTAGACTACAAAGCTGGCAATTCATATGCAGACACTTAAGAGGTAACTAGACACATGCTACGAAGCTTTCTGTGTTCTTCAAACTACCAACAGGACCCAGACTTCCTGTTTCCTCCACACTGAGGGAACTCACCTATTCTCAGATATTCTTCATCGATCCACCACTGACACCTAAGCTTCTACTAAAATCTCCAGGAAGCTCTTATGATGTCCTACCCTGGTGTGAACAACTTGCCAGAATCTAGCAACTTGAGCCTTGCACATAACAGGAGACCACGCCACCACATGGGCCACCTCAAACTCCCACAGTGGCCACCTTCCTCCTGGCAGACAGCATTCTGGAGGTGTCACCTTGGCACCCTGGCCTGGCCAGCTGTCAGTCCTGCCACCCAGCAGGAGTTAATGACACGGGATCAGTTGAGTTAGGCAAACTGGGGTTAGGACAGGCAAGGTTACTCCCAAGGTTACCGCCACGACTCACCACTGTACATGTCAGGGTGGTTTCTTAAGGACGAGTCATTATAGGGGTGGTCTGCAATAAACAAAAGAGGGTGAGCAAACAGGAGGCCGTGGAGAGGTCATGGAGGCACAAACGGGGGAGCAAACCAGAAATGCAAAGCCACGGAAACAACCAAGGAGAGCACCAGTGGTCTTTTGCAAATGAAAGACATGGTGTGTTGGGAAAGGAAATACGCTTGGTGAAAAACAAGCAACACAAAACAGCCCAAAAAAGGAAAACGAAGGTTAAATCCTGCAAAAGAAGGCAACAGTAAAATAAGTTTCTTTTTAAATTAAAGAAATTAGGCTTGAACTTTAATTGCTTGGTCCTACTGTATTTTCGCACAAACGAGACCAGGATTAGTGGTGTCCTGTGGCGGTCTTTTGAACAACTCCTCATCCAAGTCCTCAGTTCCCAGGACTCTGGATCAGGCCAGCTAAGGAGAAAGGCGTGTTAGTGAGCCCTGGGGAAAGAGCCAAGTCCCACCCGAGCAGACGCTAAGCTGAAGGAGGTGAGAGGTGAATGGGAGGAGAACACAGTCATCGACAGAGTGGGACAGAGGGACCCTCGGCAGCGCCCAGCAACAAGCAGCCCCCTAATGTGACCAGGCGGGCATCACTATGGTCTCTGAGATGTCTCTGTTGGCAGAAAGGCCGCCTCATGAGGAGGCTGTGGTCCAGTGAGGAGGGGCGAGCTTGGCCGAGGTTCAGATTTTAGGATAGGAAAGGGAGCTTGGGACAGGAGAAAATGTGAGCTGTGAGTTCTACACTTGGGGCCGGGCAAGGCCTGCTGACTACTTGGAAATGCAAAGCTGTCTAGACTGTGCTGGGCTGAAGACATTCCTTAAGGAGCAAGATCAGTGGCTTCAGTCCCAACGTTAGGTAATTAAAATCTTTGGGGACTGCATCCCTCATAAGAAAGACACTTTGAGGGCCGGCCCGTGGCTCACTTGGGAGAGTGTGGTGTTGACAACACCAAGGCCACGGGCTCTGATCCTATATAGGGATGGCCGGTTGGCTCACTTGGGAGAGCGTGGTGCTGACAACACCAAGTCGAGGGTTAAGATCCCCTTACCGGTCATCTTTAAAAAAGAAAAGAGAAAAAAAAAGAAAGACACTTTGTTTTTGGTTTTTTTTTTTGTCCTTTTTTGAGACCAGCCGCACCGCACTCAGCCAGTGAGTGCACTGGCCATCCCTATATAGGATCCGAACCCACGGCGGGAGCACCGCTGCACTCCCAGAGCTGCACTCTCCCGAGTGCGCCACGGGCTCGGCCCGAAAGATACTTTGGAACAGGACACATAATCATACTAAAGTCCTTAAGTAGCTTCTCATTCTCCACCACCAGCCCCTTCCAGCTAGGGGTTCAGTTTTGACAGTACCAGCAGGGGCTGGGGGCTGGTGCAGTTGACTGGAAGCCAAGCAGACAGCCCTGAGAAGCTCAGAACACAGTCCAACTGCCAGAGGGAGGACAGTGCTGTGCCAAGACATTTGCATATGTGAAGACAGATCAAATCCCCTCACAACTCATCACAAGAGGGTGTACGAGTTCTTTTCTGGAACTGGCACTGCACCCCAGATCTACTCAGCACCGGTAGGGGGAGTTCCATTACTCAGTTATCTCTTAAGATGGGGTGTGCTGTCAAAGAGCCAGCCTGCTTGGGAAGTCGGCACAGGTGTATCTGGAGCTTTAGACGGGCACGGATCAACAACGGAATGAGGTGGCCTGGGGTGGGGTAGGACTGCAGGTGGTCTGGGGAGGGGACATTTACTCCTCTCCTGGGGGAGGACAGTGGCATGTGCAGATGAAAGGGCCCTTCTTTCATGCTCCCATGCCACCTATCTCTTTTCAGAGAAGTGACCCCCACTCAGAACTGATCTCAGTTTGTGGATTCTGGAGCATGAATGAGCGATTGGAGGAGACATTCTGACTCCTCTGAGAATGTGCCTTAGACGTGAGCAGGACACAGGGTGGCGCCCCCATCGTCCACCTCGGGGACACCCTCCTTCCTCGCCACAGCTGCCTCTTAGTGCAGCACCTGTTAGGGCACAGGCACAGTGGGCCGGGTACATCTTTCTTAGCCTGATTTCACTGTTTACCTTTGACTGCGTCCCAAAACAGACTTCAGAAATGATTTTAGATTGCTCAGTATTTTGTATTATATACCTTTCTCCTCTTCCTTTAATGTAGGAAATAAAAAATTGGGTGTGATGAAATTTATTTCTTCCCAAATGGGCAAACTGTGGCAGGAGCAGCTGGTGAGAACAGGGCCTTTGAAGCTATCCCTACTTGACTGTTTTGTCTCCCACCCCCGGACCTGGTTCTGAAGGCACAAGAGAAAGCCTGTGTCCTTTCCACACAGGACGGCAGAGAGAGCACAACTGTGCTATTCTAAGCAACCGTGCCCAATTGTGGGCTGGCTCCGATGCCTGGCACTTGCTCCAGCCAAAGCTGCCCCTGGGAGAACTGCAGGAAGCTGATGGGGCTCTGTTCCAATCACCCAGAGGGCTTGTTTCATTCAGTGGAATAGGAGACCCAGAAATGAAGCAGAAACACCCCTTACATTCTCTGGTAGGGAAAAGAATGTTTCTGGAAAGCCCAGCTTTTAAATTCTGTTTAAATCTCTAACTGCTCAGTTCTATAGAGGAAGACTCTTCACCACTTCAGTCTCTAAGCCTCTGTCCCGTCCTGTGTGACAGTGATGGCCTCTGCCCAGGATGGCAGAAGGTCACCTGACTCAGCTTCAAAGTCCTGGGCAGGGGGAGAGGGGTCCAGTGAGGATGCTGAAGGCTACCCAGGGTAAGCTCTATGAGCATCTTGCTCCTGAAATTCCTGCTCCACCCTCTGGCTGGTGTTGCCAGCCCTGTCCTGGTTCCTGAGGCCACTCTGAGGTCCTGGGCAGACCACACTGTCCTCCCCAGCTCAGCCAGCTGGCAGGCAGTCACCCCGACATGCACTGAGGAGACACTGCAGACAAATGAACTTTTTTCCTCCAGGGGCCCTCCCTGTGCCTGGGTCAGGAATAAGAATGCCAGTGGGGTGAGGGGGATGGGGGGGAGGGGGGAGGAAGCAGAGGGAAGCTGGGCAGCCCTGCCAGGAACACGCGGGGCTTGCAGTCCTGTCGGGGATCACTTTACAGGCAGCTCAACACCCACTCAGAACAGTGTGTGGGGACCCTGCAGAGGCAGGAGGGAGGCGATTAGAGGAAGGTAGAATGGAGCTGAAAGAAAGAAAAACAGAGAGAGAGAAAGGAAGAAAGCAAGGGGGGAAATAGAGAGGAAGGAGGTGATAAAGAAAAAGGAAGAAAATGAAGAGTAAGGAAAAAAAGGAGAAAAAGACATGAGAAGGGAACAAAAAAGGAAGCTGCTTCCTGTGGATCCTCCCATGCCCTGGTGGACACAGAGTGTGGGGCTGTGTCGGTGCTCAGGACTACCTGTCCCCACCAGCAGCAGGCACTGATGAGGAAAGAAGGGAACACTGGGGCTCAGGACCTCCACCTGTCCTGAATGAAGAGTGAGCTCCCCCAAGCCTCTCCCCCGCTGCACCCTCCCAGGAGGCACCGTCAGCCACCTCCACGTGGGCCAGGGTTCAGCCTCTTTTCTCTGACCTGTGGAAGCTGCCAGCACCCTGTGGTGCTCTGTGCTTGACCTCTCCCACAGTCCCCACTGTCCACAGCAATCAAAACAACATTCACAGCATGCATCAGACAAATTCAGGTTTCTTTTGGGGGGCATGTTACAAATCCATGGTGTAAACCGACATGGACAACTTTCAATGTCCCGAGCAGGCTGAGGATGAGGCAGGAAAAGCTCCAGGTGGGCTTGTCCCTGCTGAGAAGCATGTCTCTGCCTAAGCTTCTCTCTCGCTGCAAGGGCCACCAGTGCCATAATGTGTCAGGAAATGCTGACTGGCTTTTGGACCAGCCAAACAAAATCAAAGAATAAAAACTAAAACGAATAAAACTAAAACATAAATCTGCAACTTACAAAAATGGCGACTCCATATGGTTTGGCATATACATGGTGCAGAATCAAATAAAATTTATCTTGGTATACCCACTGATTTAGATATTTCGTGCTATGGCTTTCTTCTAGAAATAAATATAACCAAGAAATACTAGAAATAAAAGAAATAATCAAACTGAGTGCATAAGAGGGATAACAGAAGCCCACTTCAAGCAGTGGTTCTCAACTCTGGTGTGCATCTGAATCACTTGGAGACTGACAGAGGACAAAGAGGTCCAGGGCTGTCGAGATACGATAGGGCTGGGCCTTTGTAGGTTTGCCAAGTCCCAAGGTGACTCTGATTCCCACCAAAGTTCAAGAAGCACTGAGAGGAAGGCCAAGTTGGACTCAAGACTTCAGAATCCAGAGATGTTGTTTAAGGGCAGCTGAAGTGGCTCAGGCACAATGAGCTGGAAGGCTTTTTAGGTCAGCCTCAGGGACAAGTCCCCTGGGACTCAAGTACCCAGGGCTGCTTGGGCTCAGTGGGCTGCCTCCCCTGGCCCCCCAGCCCCGGGCAGGGGCCTGCACTTACTGGTGAGGACCTTGAGGGTGAAAGGATTCTTCTGCTGGATGGTGTGGGTGAAGTGGAAACGGGCATTGCAGCTGTAGTCGGTCTGCATGTCCTGCAGCATCACGTTAGAGAAATACAGGTCTCCATTGTGGCCCTGGGAGACACGCTTGTCTTGGGCGATGGGCTCCATGGCTAGAAGGAAGCAAAGGTATGGTGGGGGGTTAGCAGAGATGATGACAGTAATAACCGTCATCACAGTTCTGGTGACCGAGCACTTTCAGAGGGTGGGGTGGGGGCCAGGAGCTTGACATTATTTGGTATAATCCTCTCAACTCCGAGGCAGGGCTTACTCTCATTTTACAGACAGAAACACAGAGGATTTAACATGTTCTGGTTGTAAAGACAGTGAAAGGAAAGCAGGGTTTTACATTCAGACCCATCTGCCCACCATCCTCGTGTTCTGTGACCACACTGACCACACTTTTCTATCTCCTGTTCATGCCACAAAAGATCTGACTGACACCGAGGCCGGAGGGAGGGAACACAAGCCTTCAGATGCTCCCCAGATTGGGATTCAAATTCTCACACTAGCAGAGGGAACACTTAGAGGGCAGGGAGCACGACTTGTTATCTTTATGCCCCAGCACCCACCCTAGGACCCGGCACATGGTAGGCAGTCAACAGTCTGCTAAATTAAATGAAACTAAATTTGGTTTTGCTGTATTTAATCAAAAGTTAGACATCACCAATGATGAGATGCCCTCCCCCCCTTTTTTTTTTACTTCTAAGAAAAAAGCATTAATTATTATAATTGTAAGATGCATACCATCAATTTTAAGGGCTTCCAATTTTAGAGGTGTTAAAATATGAAAATGTGTGCTTTTTGGAATTAATGTCATCACAGGAGTGGCTGAAAATGCTGACTATATTACCCATATATTTTTAAAGCACTGCATCTGATGTAAGCTCCAAAGACCAGGTTTCCCCAGGGTGTTAGGTTTGTAAAAATATATTTACAAAGCTGGCCACATAGAACTCTCTCCTTCCTATTCCCAGTTGTTTTTTAAGTCACCATTTCTTAAGTACAAGGTTAATGATGCCAACTTTCCCAGCTCTTCAAATCATCCCTCAAAGATTTACTGTAGGCCTACTATGTGCCAGGTACTGAGCCAGGGGCTGATGAAAGAGAGATGAACACAGATAGTTCCTGCCCTCAAAGAGCCTGCAGTCTAGCAGAAGAGACAGCAGATAAATAAGTAATCACGATGCGGTGTGGCGAGTGGAGCACACCAGCAAGAAGGAGACAAACTGCAGAGGAGGGCCCGATACGCCCAGGGGTCCTGAGCTGAGCCTTGAAGGCTGCACATGTCATATCAGGTGGGAAGGACAGGGGGGCTCAGAGCAGGAAGGGTGTGTGCTGAAGGTGAAGAGCACGTGGCCTGTCCAGGGCTGGGAGGAGGGCTGGAGAGGCAGAGGGACCAGATCGGGAAGGGGGCTGCGTGCCAGGGAAAAGTCTGGACTTTTTTCGAGATGAGGAAGGAGCCCATGAAGGGCTCTAAGCATGTAAATAAAACTATCAGATCAAGTTTTCGGAGAGGCCGGGGAGAATGGTTAGGGGTCACCGTAGCCACCCATGGAGACACCGACGGTGACTTCCACTGGGGAGATGTCAGTGAGGACAGAAAGAGGAGTTCATGAATCCTAGTCGGGAGGTAGCATGGACACAATTTGATGACAAATGTGACGTGGGAAGTGAGAGAGGACAGTCTGAACTGTGAACTAACAAACCAACCCCCAGCCTGCGGCGGGCGGCCTTCCCTGCAAATCTGCATGGAGGCGAGGGAAAGAGAGACGCTGAGCACCGAGCCGCCCGCGCCCACAGGCCAGCTCACGGCGAGCCTCGTCCACAGGGCGGCCTCCCTTGGAAGCAGGCTGGATAGAACAGAGATAGGCATATAGTAGGGAGGGAGGTGGACAGACAGAGTGGTAGACACATGGATCAACAGGGAAGGGAGGGATGGAAGGAGCCAGGACGGTACACAAGAGAGGGCAGTCCTTCGTCACCTCCAGAATGCCCTCCCCACTTTTATTTTAGTTGAAAATATGGCAAGAAACTGAAGCCCAGAGAGGTTGAATGAGTCTCAGTCCAAAACTGAGCCAGAACAATCTCTGAATGATGTCACTCTGTCCCCCTGCTGCAGACACCCAAAGTCCCCATCAGTCCTTCATCAAAGGTTTCATTCCCGCATTCACCCTTCTGTCCCAGAAGAAGATCGAATCAGAGTGACCCCGGACCGAGCAGACTGAAGGAGGAGGCTTGGAATCGATGGCCTTCAACCGGCCTGCTGAAAACACGACTCTCCTCTCCCTCATTCCTTCCTCTCTTGCCCTTCACCATCTTCATCATCACAGACACTACCAAGCACTTACTGTGTGTCTGGCTGTTCTAAGCACTTTGGATGTATGGGCTCATTTATCCTTATAATAATCCTGCTAGGTAAATACAATTATGAGCTCTGTTTTTCCCAAAACAAGAAACTGAGGCTCAGAGAAGTGAAGCAACTTGCTCAAGATCACACAGCTACCAGCAGCTGGGCTAGGAAATGAGCCCAAGCAACCTGTCTCTGCGGAGCTGTGTTCTCAGCCCCGTGGCTGTTGGTGAGAAACCTGTTTCTTCCCATGTTTTCAATTAAAATAAAAGTGGGGGGCATTCTGAAGGTGACCAGAGGACTGCTGTCTCTTGTGCATCTCCCTGCTCACCTGTCCGCCTCCTCTCCCCCTCCTGCCATCCCTCCCTTCCCTATCTGTATCTACTCTGTACCTCCCTCTCCCAAGTCAAGGTCATCTAGGTTTGGGCAAGCCCCTCCCCATTTAACACACCCACCCCACTCCCTACAGTCAAAACATAAATAAAACACCAGGCCCCATGACTTACAGCTGCTCATCCAGAAGATGACTGGGGACGGAAGTCCAGGTGGGGGGTTGCACTGGAGTGTCAAGGGGGCACCTTCTTGAACCACCACAGGGTCTAGGTTTTCCTTGGGCCACAGGGGAGACTCTGGGGAGAACAGACAGAGGAGGATGAAATGAGGATAATAGCTGGGACCAGGGCTGGGGCCAGGAGCAGGCTCAGAGGCCGGCATGTAAGGACGGGAAAGAGAAGGGACAACCAGAGGATGAGGGAGGCAAGAGGGACAGGGCCCGTGAGCCTAAGTGAGGGGCTGCCCTTGAGAGGCGGGAGAAGAGAGGCCTTCTGTCCTCCCTCCTATGCCCAGAGCAGCCGGTGAAGTTGTTGCAGACTTTGGTCTGGAAGCTTCCTTTGCAGGAAATCTTTCTGAGCTGGGGGAGATACATGGAGAGCACCAAGGCACCTACAGGCCAGGGGCAGGGGTGGTCCTTCCAGAATGGCCTTCCGTACCCCTCCCCCGCCTGCCCAGGAGCAGGGCATCTCGGCCCTGCCCCATGCTACTCACTAGACACCTGCAGGCGAATCCTATTGGACAGGGCCGTGCCAAATTTGTTGCGGGCAAAGCACTGGTATTCCCCCTCATATTCTTCCGGCCGCCCACCGCTGCGGAAGTCGATCACCAGGGTCCCCGACCTTCTCCTCATGGACACCCGGGGGTCCTTGGCAATGTTGAAGAACCTGCTGTTGCGAGTCCAGTGGAAGCTGTGGACAATGGGGGACAGAGCAACCAAGACTAATGGGGTGGGTCTGGGCTCCAGGCGAAGCTTCCCACTTCCAGTCTTGTCCCCACACCTCCATACCAATGGTCCCCAGCCCCGGCTGAGCAGCAGAACCATCTGCAGAGCTCGATAAAACACTAAGACCCAGGTCCCACCCCTACGAGTCCCCAGGCCAGGGGCTGCCACCAATATTTTCACCCAGCCAAGGCTGGGAGTCCTGGATCTGAGTGGTAGAAACTCAAGTAGCTACTGGGGGATTATGTTCTATAGGTACATGATGGAGAAGGCAGTGATTCTGATTTTCAGAATCCAGAGTTAGCCTCTCTCTCCACCCCAGGACATTCTCGACCTCCTACTAGGAATGCCAACTCAAGTCACATTTCACCCAACCCAAAGGCATTAGAGAGCAAGTTCTGCTCCTCCTAACCCCTTCATTTTATAATCCACTCTAAAGCCAAAGTGAAATGGCTTAGGTTATCTGTGCCCCTGCTCAGCGAGTGTGGATTTTAAAGCAGTGGCCACACACTGTAGCCCAGGAGGGGCAGCTTTCACAGAGACAGCAGCTTAATAGAACTGAGCCCTGGGTGAAGAGCTCTGGACACCTCTCTGCCTCTCCTGGGAGGCTGGGATGCTGTGTGTGTCTGCTACAACCAGCTGCCCATGATATAATTGGTAATAGAAGCAGGAGAAAGTCATTGTCCCTGCAAAGGAACCAAGGGGGAAAGACCAAATCTCAGAAGCAAGGTCACCGGTGCACTGACTGACCCTTCAAGGTGACTCCCTCCTCGTTCCTGGGCTCAAGTTCAAGTTCATGCAAACCCGGGGAGCCAGAATAAGGCTGCCGCACACCTGGTGACCTTTGCTCTGTTGACAGACACACCCTAGATGGGGTCCTGTCATGTCTGGGTCTGAATCTTGCATGAGACTCCTGAAAGGGCCAGTCTGTGGGTGCTACATTGAAGAAGGGGGACAGATAACATCTGCCATATCTCCCTCCAGTGCTTATCATTCCATAGAAAGAAATCTGACCATGGAGGTCAGAGGCTGGGGTCTAAATCTGGATTCCACCCCTTTCAAGCCGGGTGACCTTGGCAAAGTCTCTGCACCTCTGTTTCACTTCCCATTCATAAGGACACCGGTCCTTCCCCAGGGGGCCGTTAGGTGGTGGAGCACGACACGTGAGTAGCAGCATCTCCTGCGGAGCCTGGACAGAGCCAGCTTTTGACTCACGTCTGCTGACATCTCACTCGATCCCGACGAGCACACATGCAGAGCAAGCTCAGAATGAAAGACTCGCGTTAGCCGGGAAGAGGAACCTCCTCTAAGCTGAGCATGGGTGGATGCCGGGAACAAGAGACGGTCGAAAGAACGTTCTACTGAAAGTCAGGAAACTCGGTATCTAGTTCTGGATTTCTGGTGGGAACTTAAACAAGACAGTTAAATTTTCTGGTCCCAGTTTTCTTATCAACTAAATCTCCTATTTACCTAAATTGTACCTTCTACCTAATAGGTGCCTAGTGGCTGTTTTTTGAGTGCATACGTTTAATTTCTCATTTGCCTTAAGTATCGTCAGGCCGTGGCAAGGGGTCCAAGGGCTCTCTTTCCAGGCCCTTTCCCTCCACTCACCTGGGGGCAGGATTCCCCTTGGCTTCACACTCAATCAGGATGTTATCGCGGGGGTCCACGATGTGGTCCTTCACTGACTGCTTGGTGATCGTCGGGGGCTGGGTCACTGCAACGGTGCACAGGGTGGGCGGTCAGGGCTGCCTGGCTTGGGGAATGGCTGAAATTAAGAGTTTCAGGAGCCACACGGGCAAGCAGGCAGTGAACAGTGTCCCGTTCCAGAGACCCAGCTCCTTCAGTGGGGCCGCAGGAAAGGGGCTGGGTGTCCGAGCCTCCTAAGCATAGGAATGCCTTTAAGAAGACCCCACAGTGTCCCTCTGAGAAAGTGAAGGCCAGGCTTTTGTTACACCTGTTCTTATATCCCAATGCTCAGTACAATGCACACTGCACAGTAGTTCTTTGTGTTTGTTGAATGAATAAAGGCACAAAAAGCAGCCACATTTCTAGAACTTAGGGGCCATGGTGCTTCTGAGCCCTGGAGGCTCAGCAGACCAACACACTGTGATGGGGCTAGAGCTGATAGAGGCTTTGATCCCAGAGAACTTCCCAGGACTTTGTCTGCAGGCCAAGGAGCCAGAGCCTCTCACTGCAGGGCATGAGCTCCATGTCTATCTACACTGGAGTCCCATGCCAGCCACTGGAGGAGGGGGAGCAGCGGCAGCTGTGGTGCACCCCTGATTCAGTCCAAAGACCCTCTCCTTACCACCTGCTCCTCTGCCTTCCAGCAATCCAATGATCTGGGTAAGCCTCTTCCCTTCCCCTGTGGTAAGGGACCTCACTACAGGGCTCTGGTGTTGAGCAGAGGTCCCAGCAGACATGGCAGAGAGGCCACTAATTCCCAGGTGTCTCCTCACCTGGCCTCCCTGCTCCTTCCTCCCTCCCACCTCCCAGAGGCAGAGTGCAGAGGGGCCGGGGCACTTACGCTCATTCTGAATGCTTGCTGTTAGTTCCAAAGGGGTAGCATTGTGAGAGGGAGAAAGAAGAACATCGTTATCACACACACGACTAACCGCCCAGGTGTCCTCACACCCGACACGCAGGGAGACAGGTGAGGTGGCCTTGAGGATGGCACTGTACACGGGACTCCTCCTCCCAGCTGCACAGCTCAGGGGAGGAGCCCAGCAGGGCTGGGGAACAGACCCAGAGAGTGCTTTGAAAAAAGGTGGCACCTCCCCGGGGAGACTGAAACCACACAGTGGAGAAGACAGACCAGCTTCTGATCAGAGGAAGGTGTCGCCAGGGAAGTCACATGTCAAAAAGTGACACTGCTCCTTGAAAGAGGCTCTGAAGATGCTGCCTGTCATCTGGCGCCATTGAGGGAGGTGGGCTGCTTGGCCAAGGGGGCAAGGAGAGGGGGGCTGAGGGCAAGACTGGGGTGGCAGGGAAGGAGCAGATCTGAGCCGTGGCTACAAGGCAAAGCCCCAAGGCCTCACTGCTCCCACCACACCTTCCTCCCTTTCACACACGAAAGCACCTTCTCTCCTCACCATCTCCTCTTTTCCCATCCTTTGGAAAACTCTAGGGACAGATGAATTATTGTTGCCCTATTCATGGCAGAAGTACACGCCCTACAGAAATTCTGCTTCTGAGTCAGAGTCTCCGGGGGTGAAGCAGGGCCTGCAGCTCCTTTCCGTGCTTTTCAGGTGGCTCAAACCTCCTCCAGCCTTTATTGGAATGTGCCTGTGCTGTGTACAGCTGTGCTCCCAGGCCGGGCTTCTCAAACTTTAACAAGCTTATGAACCACTGGGGTCTGGTTAAAATGCAGGGTGGGGCCTGGGATTTTGCATTTCTGACAAGCACCCAGGCGATGCCGATGCTGCTGGTCTGTGGACCACACTTTAGGTAGCAAGGATTACGTGGTATTCTCTTTGTGGGGAGAAGGTCTTGGGTAAAATTTGTCTGCAGAAAAGATAACTGGTTGCTGTAACTTAAAAAAAAAACAAAACTTTTCCTTATGATTGTATCAGAAAGTAACATGACCTTCTTGTTTCATGCTGGGGCGAATGTCAGATGTCTACTGGCATTGCGGGCTGACTTTTTTTTTTTTTTTTTTTTTTTTTGGAAAGGG